CCTCCTCTATCATACTCGTGTATCCGGTCCGGCAACTTATACCCCCGGAGACGGGGAGACCCGGAGACAGTGGGGGCCGTGACCGGGCGGTCGCCGACCGCCACAGGCGATAGGAATTGGATCAGCCGGTGGCCGTGGCTGTAATGGTCCTCAGGGTCGCGCCGGAGGAGCTCTGGTCACGCCGAGAGACCACCCGGAGGTAGCCGTGCACGGAGCTTCGCGGAAGATCGCCCGCAAAAAGTTGGGCACGAGCTTCTGGGAAATTGGTATGACGCGAAGTTGGACGGAGAAGTTCTGTCGTGGCAATGGGCTGAATTCAAAGGGATGGTAGAGCGCGAGGCGCTGGTGGTATTGACACCGCCTTGGGGTCTGCTGGTGCCCCTCCCCCTCTGCACCCTTCTCCGTTCGGTACGACCCTCTTCCTTCCACTCAATATGTGCAGAATCGATACGCGCGGCCGTTATCAAGGATTATCCTTTGTGTGCGCGTTCGTTATGAAGGGTGGCGCCTGGCCGGAATTTATACATCCCCACAGGCGTATTCATACCGGTGGGCCCGACAGTAATGGGCAGCAGCTCGACCTAATTGGTACACGCCGGGGAGCGGGCGCGTGCCTGATGAGGACCACCTCCCCACAGCGGACCGATACATTCAGATGTGCCGCAGATAAAGATGAGCGCAGATGTCCAAAACGCAGATGTGTGCTTCCTCTGGAACCTGCTCGTGTGGGCTTTCTCCAAGCGTTTGTAATTTCGTGCCGCGGCTCGCTAAATGTGGACCATCGCACATCTCGAGAGAAATACGAAATTCGTCGTCGAGGAAATTCGACGGATCGCCAATGTCCGTAAGTTTGACTGCTATGAATAACTGTCCCATTCAATTACAACGGGCTGCCATGACTATCTCAGCGCTTCGAATTCTATGGTGATTTAAAGGGACTATCCCACCTTCTAAAATGTTGTTAAAACCAGTTAAATTGTGCCCGACTTTATAGATTGGATGACCAGGAACACGGTTCTGGCATTTATTTTTCATTAAACATCTTAGGCTTCCCATATTCCAAACACAAACATTCAAATATGTGACGTCACAGCCCAAAATTAACTCCTTCCCCAGGCCACATTACTGTCATAAAGCTGATTCTTTTTACTCTGTAGGCACCACAACAAAGTTCAGACCAAGTTTTAAGCGATTTTTCAACGAACAAACCCATTTAAATCAGAATGACTAAACGAGGTGACGTCACACTAACGGTCGCTCCATGTTGAAGATAGGGCCTTGTACAAGGCCCATTTTCAAATGAAGGGAACGAATTTCTTCAACACCAAGAGGCCGCGGGGGTTGCAACCTAGATAGATAGTGGTTTCTGAACCTCGCCGCAAACTTGGCTATCTCAACTCAAACCCCATGTTAAAGGTGGGATAGTCCCTTTAATTAGCGAAATGCGGATTTGTGGTTTCGGCAGAATTGCATTTGGGATAGTGTGTTTTACAACTGGCCTAATTTAGGGCTATGCTAAATTAGCGAGATGTGACCATTTCCTTGCTGGAGCCCAAAGTATTATTCAACTCTGGATATTCTCACTCGACGAACGGGAAACCAAGGCCGAAGTTCTATCGTGCATGACAGAAATATTTCACGGTTGTCTAGACGGCAATACTGTTCGAGAGAAAACGTACCGTGCCGCACAGCGACGGCAGCGCGCGGCGGGCACGGCCGAGCCCCACCGTCCACGTGGTCCTCTGCAGGGCCTGGGGGGTCATCTGGAGCACATATGTGTGCTGACCGGCCCCAACGCGCCGGGCCGGCCGCCGCCGGCCGGCTCGGCAGTTCGCGGCGATACGACGACGACGGCGCGGCTCCGCCGGCGCAACGGCGCCGGCGTCGTACGATTCGATTGACGTGCAGTGTGTGACGAGTAATCCAGAAATAGACATTCATCTAAGAACTCTTTTGGTCCTCCGGTTAATGAAACGATACGATCAGCTACGCAATTCCTAGTGAACTGGACGATTACACGAACAATTTGGTCTGCCGTGCCGGATCAGAGTAAACGACCACGAATCACACGAACAAATACTATCACGAACTTTTTGCCAAAACTCGGAGAAATATTGATAAAATAAAGTTTTCTTTTGCATATGCCTGGCCCTGAACACGGTTAGATGTGATGTGCGTCAGATAGGATATGTTTCTTTTGAGATGTGGCTCAGGTTTTCGGTTGTGTGTGTTTTGTGTGGTTGTTTTGTGGCTTTTTCACATGCCTCTCTGTTGGTATATATCTATGCGACTCGAAACGTCCGTTTTTATTTATGACTCGAAACGTCCGTTTTTATTTATAGCTGATGACCAAGTTGTGTTAAATGCTATGTTTTTATTCTGTTAGAAGGTTGTCTTATATGTATACCAATATTGGGCTTCTGGATCATACTTTAACCATATATTTAACTATATAACTATATCTATATACTATATATAACTTTAACTATATCCTATATATTCGGCAAAAGTGCACAAGATATGTGCACACTTGGCACTTGCATATACAAAAGTGCACACCTATTCATATGCGAAGTGAAATGTTTGAAAATTACTCATTACCACCTAGTTAAGCGACATTTTTAGCTTTTTAGCTTTGACTTTGAAGCTGCCCATCATGACCGCCATGCAAGGCTGTAGCGTTTTAACAGCAACCAAAGCGTGTGTTCCTCAGGCTCAGTCAGACTTGCCGAATCAGAAAAAAATGCCAGAAAAAGAAAGAAACCATCTCCGTCTTTCGCTTTGGGATTTACTTTGAGTGATTAACATTTTGTATCATCTCAGCGTTTTTATCGACATCCGATAGCCTTTTTTTTTACTAATCATTACCTAGCCGTTTTCACGATGGCACATTTGGTCATACTCGGTCAGATTTGGTCAAATTAGGTTCATAGTTGATTCTGACTTTTTTCAGCTCAGAGGCCTGTTTCACTAACAAATAAAGTGTGTAATTACTAAGAAAAAACTTGAGTTTAAAAGAAATAATTACCAACATTTGAAATTTGGATTTCACGAAACCTTCGGGCATGAATTTTGAGTTTAAAATTTACCAACTTTTTTACAAGAAAAAAGTTTGTAAGAAACATCGAAATCGCAAACTTTCTGTTTCACGAAGACCAAAAACTTGAAAGAAAACGTTGTTCTTACAAACCCGAAATTCCAGTGGCCCTTACGTTTGGAATTTTATTACTTTTTGTGCAATGATGCAAAGCAATCAATTATTTAAAACAAATATGATATGCTGAGTCATTATACGCTCTTTTTCACTTAGCACATTCCCTACGAACCAGCTACGAGCAATAAATAAATATCATCATGTTTTGTCATTCGCGCGCCATAATTGCATTCAACAGTCTTCTGCTGTCAAATATTTTACGTGTTATTTTCTTTCAATAATAAGACATTGTGCACTATCATTTATACCATTCAGAAACAGCATCATTATTTTTAATTTATTCCTGCAATTTCTGACATGAATACTAGACATAGTTTGATAAAAAGAAGCAATATCTGTAACATGTTATAGTTCTTGATTAAAAACAATTTTACTGTTTACAAGTTTATTTACCAACTCTTTTTATCGGAGGTGCCACTGGTGATGAAGTTTAGTGAAATCCGATTTTACATAGTTTGCAAAAATACTTATGAATTGTAAAGTTCAAACACTTGTAATCGCAAGTTTTTAGTGAAACAGGCCTCAGATTGTACAAGTTGCTTACATACTCGATTTATCAAGTTATCAGACATGCTTTTCGAACATTATGAAGATATTTCCTGTAAAAGAGACTTGGTCACCAAGTTCGGTGCATCTGCCAGATAATCCGTCTTGGAAATGGCTATAGATTCAAGCTTTGTAGAAATGTTCGTCCTCAAACTTGAAAAGACCTTTATTTATGTTACTCACAATACGTTATTTTTACAGAGCTTGTGTATAAACATATAGGTATAGCAGCCATTTTTGCATTGCTCCTCTGTTCGTCCCGCGTCGGACCTTGGGTATACGATCCGAGTCAGAAACTGAAGTCGGTAATATTGGACTCGACAATCGACATGGGATATTGAAGGCTGCAGCTCAGCTTTAGCAGCAACTTGTGCCCTTCAGAAAGCAATTAGCAGCACGAAGGAAAAGTATTAAAGGTAGGCAATTCAATACAAAGATTTAAAGTCACCACTCAACACGCAACAAACATATTTTGTAATTAAAGGAGACAAATTAAGAAAAAAACATAAAGATGCTACGCAATGTATGAGGCATAGGCGGTGGAACGGGGAGGGCACCGGGGCACCGTGCCCCCCTTTGATTTGGGCATTTTTATATTAGCCCTATGGGCGTTGCATGGAAAGAATGGGACCAAAAGTCGGCAGTGCCCCCCCCCCCCCCCCCGCTTAATTGAGGATGTTCCGCCGCTACTGGTATTAGAGATTGCTGGAAAAGGACAATGTGATAGGTACTGATCAACGGCAACCACAAAACTACACAAAAAGTCACTGGTCTGGGTATCTAGATACGTTTATAAAATTAATCCACGACAATATATCTGTATTATTTGTACCACAATTCCTTATCTTTCTGTTATTTCTTAATTAACCGGAACTTATCCGATTCATCACTGGCCTAAGTGAACTGGTGACCAATTCATTTACAAGCCGCAGCTGGCCAGCGGCTGTCAACATCTATTGATCATCCCTTCCCGAGGCCAATCTGTCAACTTCTTATCCTAATTGAAAACTCCCTATCCGGGTCAGCGCAGCGGCTCATTACGACAAAAACAACCTCGTTATGGCCATTTTGGGTGTCCCGTTGGGTCCAGTGGTACACCCACGTGCCCGGAGACAGGTGGTCGATCCCCCCCCCCCCCCGTTGCATCCCACGCACCCCTCCCCGTCCCCCTGCTCCAGACCGCTGTAAATTGGCGCATGCGCGGTGCCGTGGATCCGACTGGCGGCCGGCGGCGCGCGTCAGTCGTCCAGAGCTCACGGTGGTGGTGTGTGTGCCGCCTGCTCCGGAGGGGCTCTGTGAAATGTGCTCGGGGCCGGGTCGGGTCTGTTGGTAGAGAGGTCAGATCGTGGTACCCGTGGACACGGGAGGTCTCGCTGGGTGCGGCTGAAGCATGCGAAGCGGTGGACGGTAGACTCGGAGAAACTGTCACACGGAGACTGGCGAGATGTGGATGTGCGTGCTGCAGATCGGAGCGGCCCTCGCAGCCGTCTTACCAGGTGAGTGTGGGTCAGAAACTGTGAGATTGTGCACCAACATGATATCGATTTCGCTATTGGATGTTCATAGTTATGCCACGAATGTTCGGTAATGATGCTTCATCGAAACGGTCGCATGGCGCGTAAGGAATAAGGTGACCTAGAAGTTCGTAATTATGCTTGCGACGGTTATTAATGTTGCAAGTATTTCATTTTTATCTTACCTTACCAATGAACTCCGATGTTCGACGGTACATATTTTTATACGGTTGACCTCAGGTCGGGCTTGCGTAAGCCTTTATATGTGCTCCAACCAACATTATCATTAGAGGTGGCAAAACGTGGACCCGAGGACCCGGTCCAAAGAACCAGTCTGGACCCATCTGCGTCCAGACCGGTTCCTGGAAATTTTCTGACGGGTCCAACCGAGTCCTACCATAAACTATACATCTTGCACACTACACATTATTGCAAAATATGAAGTGAATGAAGTGAATGTTTCTTTGCACACAGTAGCTCATGAGTATTCCCAGTGGGAAATAGGCTGTTTTACTTATTTGAAATTGTTTTAACGGACTTTCACTGGGTAGTGGGTAAAAGTTATTATTGGTCCCGGTACTCCGACTTGTATTGAAAAGTCTTCGATGGGGCACACATAGGTTTAAAACAGGAAATGTCCTGTTTTAAACCTATGTGTGCCCCATCGAAGACTTTTCAGTACAAGTCGGAGTACCGGGACCAATAATAACTTTTACCCACTACCCAGTGAAAGTCCGTTAAAACAATTTCAAATAAGCATTTACCTGGGTATTAACTATTAAGACATGACTCTTCAGTCTCACTTAGGCTGTTTTACATCAACATGATGCAACTAATGATGCCTACAAGTAGTTTGCATTAATTGACTTTTGGGAAACGGGTCCAACTGGTTCCGATTCCAACAACCGGGTCCGACTGGTTCCAGAAATGTACAGCCGGGTCTGGTTCGAGTCTGGTTCCCAAAATTTTCATCTTTTGCCACCTCTAATTATCATCTCCAATAAATGCCTGTGTCCTGCATTTTTCATGCTGACAAAAATATTGAATTTTTTATTTACATATATCGGCTGACTGAAATTCGTTTCCAGTTAATATTGTCTAGCACTGAGGTCTGACGTCAGCTGTCTGGCCGATCAACCACCGACCAGATATGTGGGACATGTTCGATTTTCCCGATGGTACTCTGCTTAGCCACAGCCTCTAGCACTGACTTCAGCTAGCCGAGCCCGGGTCCGCGTGGGGTCGCATGGCAACCGTGGGAACCGGCCAAACAGACCTCTCAAATATCATATTTACGCGCGCTTATGCGCGTGCCACGTGCCTTACATATTTCAAATTCTGAACATTCCTGTCTTTTTCTCACGCGGCGCGCCTCTCTGCCTTTGAATACCTCACGTCGAGGATGCGCGGTTCGTGTTAGGCCTGTAATAACGGGTATGTTACAAAACCTGTAGCTATATAAAGCGTCGCTGGAGCATTTTCTTGTTTGTTTAATTTTGCTCCCGACGGGCCACAGCCCTAGCCGGGTAGGGGCAAGTTACTAGCTGGCAGAAAGTCGTTTGTGTTTAAATATAACCAAAATTCAGCTGCTGAAGCAGCCATATTTCCGCAGGCGCATACTATAGCGCCGAAATTGTCGCCTCTGGCAGCAGCGCAACGCTGAAAATAAGCCCCGTCCTGGGCCTCGTCAGTCCGTCCCGAGGGTCGTTAGAGGTCGATTTACGCGTCCTGGACTGAGGCGGTGCTTCTAAGTGCACGTTTACGCGTAAAATAACACCCATGAGGGACAATATCTCGCTTGACACACCCACCAGACGCCAATATATTTACCCCGAGTACCACAATGCTGCACAAACGCGGCAGTTTCAACCGGGTGGTTTCGCCTAGTTGTTCCACGTTTCATTGATGACAGTATCCGGCTTTTTTTTTTCTCTCTCTCTCTCTCTCTCTCTCTCTCTCTCTCTCTCTTCAATTTGAAAGGAAGGCCTGATGCTGAATAAAGATTCGCGACACTGAAGCAAACATCGATCTCATTCTTGGTGCGTTTCTTTCGTGTCTTTGCATTATCCAACATTGTCATTTGCATCCACCTTGAAGTACCAATTTGTTAAGCTGAAATCGTGGTACCATTGTAATGAATGGCCGCCGCCAGCAGTAGTATCAACCTAGCTTATTGTAATGGTACATACAGGCAGCATAACGACACTAATTGTAAGTGAATCACATATCCATTGGTTCTGTTCTTCATTGGCATGTGTCGTGAATCATCATCTTCATCATGGCTGGTGCTGGCGCTGAAGTATGCATGAATGAGAATATACAGATGCTAATCAAACTAAGCTAGATGAGAAACAATTTTTATCCTTTACAGACTGACCGGGTACACATATTTCATTTAAAAAACACGCTCGCACTTGTCGACTCAAATACTTACGCGATGATAAGCTAGAAAACCAGAAAGAACCAATTCATTGCCATCTTTCGGAGTAGAGGTGTTCTTCGCTGGTACACTTGTTGAACCAAATCGCTAAGCCCTCCGTTATAATCCAAAGAAACATTTCAACCCTTCTAAACCGTGTTGAATTACGAACCAACTTCGCCTAACCACATAATGAGGACGTTTGGACGCCCTACAGTGTCTCCTTCACCGATAGCTATGCTCAGAACGTGTCACACTATGTGTTTGCTGTTTTAGTGTAAACTTCGCTACCTCTGTGCCACGGTCGCGGCGTTTGTTGTCAAACTTGGCCTGCTGGGAGCCGCGAGATGTCTCACCACGGACCCCAGTCCCACTGGTGATGTGCCAGTATCTTCACACGGGTCCGAGCCGCCGGCCCGCACCGTTCTGACACGTCGTATCAGATAGGACAGTCCGGGTGTGGCTCGGATTGATTCGGATGATCGACCGCTTTGCAGCAGTCGCACCGCGCCGCTGCTCTGAGCGCGGGGGGTGCAGACGAGTGTTTATGTCAACGCGCACCGAACCGTACCACCGTTTATAGGCGACTGGTGTTGCGAGCTACGCTTTCTGACGCCTTGGTCATGTTCTGCACAGCGATGATTCACCAGAGGAATGGAAAAACAAGATTTTCTATCAATGGCAGACGTGTTTCGCTTGATTTCCTCATTCTCGGCGGCATGTTCTTGATTTTCTTTATCTGCTTGTACAGGTGAGTCATCAAAAGCCACCCTTGTGACGATTCGTGATTCCAGGTCATATGTAGCGAGCCGTTGGTTCTTATCATATCTCGTTGGTCTTCCGAGGAGATCCTCGCCAATGTACATAAATACAGGCCTGCAGGCAGCAGCGGGATATGCGTGGCTGGAAACGGGTGGCATTTCGCACTGCATCAGTGAGGTCGGCAGGACCCTGGCGCCGGTAGCCTATGCGATGGCACAGAGGTGAAGCGTGAATTGCACTGTGGATGACACAATTCGTGATATGTGCGTAGCTGACGACCTGGTGAGTCGTGTCTTACATACAGCCGACACGTTCAGGAACTCGGGAACTCGTGACATTGTTCCAGCCCCTTCCCAAGCTCAGGAAGGGGACATCACAGTCCATCGTGTTTCTCAATTCCAGACCGATATTGTGGAGTGTGAAACCGTCTGCGAGAAGTCACGCCACATCAGTGTCACGTGCCGTGTCAATTCGCCGCCTCATTAGCAGCGCGGTGTCGCCCGCTACCGAATTCATGGCACACATGTGTCGCCACCGTAATTTAATCCAAGGCCATATATAGTATTTAATCTGTCCTGGCGGCGCCCTGCAGGACGTCGTGCTCAGATCTGTGGCCTCTGAGGACTTTGATGTTATCTTGGGCCCGGTCTGGTTACCTGCTAGTGTCGACACGAGCCGCGGCCGGCGCTTTGTTTTTTTATCGTGATATGAATCCGATTCGTGTTCACAGTACTGGATTAGATGTCTCATGCCGCGTTCTAGGTGTCTGGCGGTTACTTTGTCGTCGGTCAGTTCAGTTCGCACTTCGCAAACAAGCATAGAAAGTGTTGATGGCATTGTGTTGTGATGCTATCAGGTGTGGAGCACTAAAAGTGAACGGTGCAGACTGAGACAGGTGCCTATTACTGCCTGAAAACGTCTGTTCCAGCACTGAACTAACAATTACCTGGCTTGGCTTCACAATGGCAGGCCTTTGGTTCTTTATTGTGACAAGGCAAATCATCCAACGTAAAGCTGGGGCGCAATGGTTTTCACGATAGTCATTGCATGCCTATTCAATTTATGCGTTCGCATTAGGACGAGCTCGTCATTCACTGGCATCGACTTTTACAGCAAGGTAGGTTCGACCTCCTGGCTTGACATTTTCACTCTCTCTATGCACCCTGCTCGTATCATGGCCCTATTTTAGACCTCCATTTGTAAATGTCATCCCTGCGTAGGCAGTGACGCATTACAAACTTTCGAAAGCTTTTATCAGGAGCTGCGTATATTTTTATGCAGTTTCCGAGCCCACTTTCAGAAGCCCTGGGGAGCGCCGCTGGCTTTAGACCGGCGGTGAAACGATGACCGGGTCACATTCACGACCCTCTCTCGGGATTTGAGGGTCACGGCAGCTCTCCAGCTGCTGTTTTACGAACCATTTGTCTCACGAGTGGCCCTGTTAGGACACGGCTCGCCTGTGCTGGTCCGTAACCCGTCAGCCAACGGTCCGTAATCTGTTAGCCGCCGGTCCGTAACCCGTCAGCCGACGGTCCGTAACCCGTCAGCCGCTCGTCAGACGGCTGACAGCCGCTCGTCAACCACTGATGCACCTGCCTCGTAAGGTGCTCTGGGACGCTCACCCGTAACCCCTTCGTGACAGTGGGTGACCGCGGCGGCACCGCAGCGCTGACGGCACGGGCAGCCAGTCACCCCTGGGGCCCCTGCTAGGCCCTGTGAGGGATCGACACGGCCCGGCGCGGGACCGACAAGGCGTCATGCTGAGCATGCATGAGCGAGCTGCTTCGCTAGCTTCCGGCTG